ATGGAAGTGTGCTCCCTGCAGGTATGCAAAATGTTGTTTTATTGAAGATGGCAGTGGTTCACCAGCTGAATCTGAAGATAGCTAATTATTGAAGAGGCTGCAGGAGTTAACCATTTTTTTCTAAACAATATATTTTAAATTACTATTGCCTGAATTATCTGGTACCACAGGGTTGTTCACCAGCTGAATCCGGAGATGGCAGTGGTTCTTCAAAATTTAGACAGTGCCAACGGTGCCAAGTTTTATCAATCAAAATCAATATTTTGGAAGCCAAGTTGGAGGTTACTCAATCTCCGGAGAAGCACGCCAACACATCATCCGCCATTTTATACGAAGCTTTGGAAGAGGTGTCTGATGCGGTGGCGGGACTATCGCTAGATCATCAACCCAAATATTTCTTAATGTGATTGTTGACAGTATCGGTACTATAATTCATTTAGGTGTTACTTGTTTTTCATTCTTGTAATTGTGAGACTTGTTAATTGTTTCAGATTATACCATGTCAATGGTGTGTGGCAGCCGAGACGGAGGAGAATAAAAGTTTGAAGGAGAATGTGGCGGCCGAGACGGAGGAGAATAAAAGTTTGAAGGAGCATGTGGCGGCCGAGACGGAGAATGAAAGTTTGACGGAGGATGTGGCGGCCGAGACGAAAATGAAAGTTTGACGGAGGATGTGGGTGAGTCGGAGAAGAATGAAAGTTTGACGAAGGATGTGGTGGACGAGACGGAGAAGAATGAAAGTTTGACTTCTTTGGTGGATGGTGTAGTCTCTCTCTACATGAATGATGCATCTACTCATCCTTCTTCGCCGGTGAATGCTGCTCAGTCTTCTTCAGCGTCTCCACCTCAGTCTCCACCTCCTCCACCTGAGATAGGTATCAGAAGGTCGTCAAGGACACGGAAAGAACCCGTGAAGTATAGTCCAAGTTTCTCAAAAAACAAGAAAAAATGAAATCTTTTTAGCACTCTTTAAATATATTTTAACTATGTTTAGTATAATTTTGTGTTGGGTTTTTTTCCCAGCACTAACTTACTAGTTTGTGTGGTAGTATTGGAGTTTGTGTGGTACTTTTCTTCTGTTGCTACAATAATTTTTGGATCTCAACTTTTACATTTTCACTTTGTGTGGTACTTGTTTTAATTTGAAAAACCGTGAATATTTGGGCTTTCTCAGATGTTAAATTAGATTAAGACTAAGAGTAAGTTTAGGTATGTTAATTCTTTGGAGTCATGCTTCTGATTCTACAAATTATGGTTGCATGTTGTGATCGTCTCCCGTGATTGGATCCAGAAATTTCTTTAAGTGGGGGCAAAAAATTATTATATTAAAAATGATTGTATAAATAATTATATTAATTTATTATTATTATTATTATTATTATTATTATTATTATTATTATTATTATTAATCAAATTGTATGAAAACCATATATATAATTTATTTAGTGGGTGATTTTATATTGGTTCATTTTAATAACAGTAATTAATTCGTTAGTTAATTAATTAATGAGTTAATTTTGAATTAGAAGTGGCTACTTAAATTATTAGGGGTTAACCCCTACTGAAGTCAGCAATGCTGGGGTCGGTTTGGTTGAACGTGAATATTTTTTCAAAATATATGTAATATATTATTTTTTCTAAATTAAATTATACATTAAACACTTTATTAATTTCAACTAAATAATATAATAATTATTCCCATTAATTCATATAGAACTCAATTAATATTAATATGTAAAATTTTGCAACATGTTTTAAATTGAAAAATTAAAAGAACTTTTTTATTTGATTATTTTTAAACGCTACTAAAATAAATTAAAAGAAAATATTAATCCTAAATTTTATCTTTTTTGAGACTTAAAATTCATTAAGAAAAAGAAAAAAAGATTAGAGGCCCAAGGAAAGGGCCCACCTTACACTTTGTCGGCCCCATAAAAACGCATGGTTTTACTCACTTTACTACTCAAGATAAACAAATGGACGAACCCACTTTCAATCCAACCTTACACTTGACCGGCCCTGCTCACACACCAGTGGCACAAGTGTTAGAAAATTCAGGGCCATGAAACCGCATGAAATTACTTACTTTACTACTCAAAATAGACAAATGGACGAACCCACTTTCGATCCAACGTGATTAAATCACATTAAGCAGACATCATGTATAACAACACTAAATAATCTGAACTGCAAATGCATACTTCATAGCAACAACATGAAGTCATGAACACACTGCAAATGCATACTTCATAGCAACAACATGAAGTCATGAACACACAAAAATTGATAACATACAACATCTAGAGAAAGAACACAATGTAGCATTCCAACATAATCAGAACAATAACTATTCAGAGCAAGTAAACAGAATCAAATCGAAATTCAAACCGAATAGAGATTACCACGAACCATGAATCCCAACTACCTAGAAGTTGTTTATCACACAATTTTTAAAATGAAAGAAGGGTGAGCAATAAAAGGTAAAACCATAATTTTTTAAGCCGTTGATTTTTTTAAAAACACCAAATGAGAGAGAGAGGAATGAGATTTACCTTGTTTTCCCACTCAAACTCAGCCCACATAGTTCTAAAAGGCCACATCAGCACAAGATGTAGGAGCAATATAGTCCATGATATCAATATGGATATCATTAAGAACAATAACTGTTCTCTCTAGAACATTTGAACATTTAAAAAAACACCCATAGTTTCTAACTCCAAACATAAATTCTGGAGAGTTTCTTTGGTTCGGTTGATTACAGTAACATCAAGGACAATGTCATAATGATGAACTGTTACATATGCTTCCGCATAAACAGGATCACTGAATCTAGTGAGCTGAAGAATGCGGTTGAGTTTATTTGCATCATCTGCATCCTTTGTAAACTCTCCAGTAGCACGTTTGAGATCATCCTGAACCTCATCTTCCAGCTCAAGTTGGCTCATGCCCTGGAGAATTATAAGCATACACAAATTGAACATTTGAAGGAAAACCAGATGAGCAGGTGTACTGAGCACATAACTGAATCAGAAAGCATTAACAGAAACTACCCCCCAACAGATTGAACAGATTTTCCATAAAATGTACGGGGCATATCCAGACAAGTTATATACATTTCACTTTTCTTCAACAAACATCGGTGAGATGGGAAACAACTCATCACTGCATTCAGAAACAAAGAAATAAGCACAAAAGCCTAGTGGCGATTATTAGATGACCATGAAATTTAAAAAAATAAAAAGGAAATTAAACATACCTTTCTCTTCCTTAGTCTTTTTACGTCTTTTAACCATAGCATCGATGTGAGCATCGGAATGTATAAATCTCTCGGTTACCACCCCCTATTTTCTCTTTTTGTAGTTTCAAGCTTTAGTGGAGGAGTCGGCCGATTCCCCACATTTTCATCTATATTATTGTCTTCAGGAATATCACTCGAATGCCTCGCATTTGTTTCCCCGGCTGCATATATCACATTATTTAAACCCGACAAATCAAGAATATTTTCATAATTAAGAATGTAACTAAAAACATAACACAGTTAAATATTTTACCTTCACTAGTGCAACCTGTGATGAACTTTCTCCACAGGATGATGTATTAGAAGGTATATCACGGTATGATGGTGGAGAAGAACGAAAATCAATCGAAGTGCGGTGGTTTCTCTCGTGTGCGCCGTTTCTTTGTCTTTCTTTCAACACAAAGATATCCTTAAAGATCTTACGTCTTCGGTGAGTTCGGCCAAAACATTATCCACGGATTCATAAGACTTTTTATGGTTATGGGACATCTTACTGATACTATCGATGAACCAAAAAATCGGGCAAGAGAAGTCGTCTTGCTCTAGTGGCTCAACTCCTATAGCACCCCAGAGTTGTGGAATTCGAACAAAAAAAAATGTCTACAGAACAACAAAAATGTGCATTTAAAAAAGCATTTTAAAAAAACACTTCAAATAAATAGTTCAAATTATACTTACCAAAAAATCCAGAAATTTCCGTCCAAATGCTTTTTCTTCTTACTTCTAAAATTTTCTATTCCTGATAAGAGGTAAGAAAGCATTGCAGCTTCTCATGCATAATTGGAAACTGAATCTACATCCTCCAAAAGTGCAACAAATGACGGAGGGATTGAATTGCCATCGAACGATGGCATAACAAAAGCTCGAAGAATAAGCATTAAAATAGCAACCTTCCGCTGCTTTGAAGAGAAGTTAGAGTCGCATGCGACACTTTTGTAAAAATCCTCCTTCCTCTTTTTATCATGGGGACCCTCCGGGTATACACGTTTGAATGCTTCATCACTTGGAACGGGTTACATGTCTTGTAGGAACCCCTACTATATATGTAACCCCTACTATGAACATAACCTTTACAATGGTCATAGTAGGGGTTTACGACTAGTAAGGAATATGTTCCCCATTTCATTAGACCTTTGTAGCATCATTTCCTCCTGAAGTTGTAGATCTGATAAGTTTTTAGCAAAAGTGTTTAGCTTGACAGTGATCTCTCCAGCTTCCACTTCTTTCCTAGTGATGCGATCAAAACTATTCTGGATATCAGCAAGTACTTTCCCTTTCAAGATTCTGCACATTTCTAACTCTTCCCTTGTTCTAAAATTGTGTTCCTTCAGATCACTTATGGTAGAGTTTGATTCACACAAGCCATGCGAGAGAGCTACGTGAAGAAGTTGTTACTTTGAGGACAGGAATGGAGTGTCTCACTACTCTGGTTGAGACATTGTTGACTGCTCAGAATCAGAATCAGAATCAAGCTCAAAATCAAATCAACCCCGAAATTCATAATCAGTCGCAAGTACAGATTCCATTTGAGTATAGTTTTAAATTTCATTTATTAGTTTTAGTTTATAGTTTAAATTTGGTTATTTTCATTTTCTAGGTTCATATAAAACAATAAACAAAATTAAATTTATAGATTTCATATAAAACAATAAACAAAATTAATTAATTTTCAATTTTAATATTTAATAAAAAATCTAATTAAGTTACTGTCTCTAATAAAATATTTTAGAATTAGATAAAAAGGTATTTTAGGTATAATAGCATTACTAATTAAAAAATGAAGTCGTTTTTTATAACATTGATAAAAGAAATTATTTATCAAAAAATGAACTTGTAAAATTTCACAAATTTTTATATTATTAAAATTATATATTTTTAATATTATTTACACTAACTATTATAAGATGTAATTTATATATAACTTATTATATATAAATTTTATCAACAAAAAAAAACCTTAAAACTTAATATATTTTCTACAAAGATAATATTTAATAAAAATAAAAATAATTTAATAAATATAAATAGAATATGTATCACTAAACCTTCCTTTAACTGCATTTACTTCACCAACTACCTCTCTATCGATTCGATGGATAGATGTCACATGCTTTTATTACGGTATTGCAAGACAAGAATGGATAGAGAAGAATCAGTGGCTTCAAACAGTCAAAGCCAAACCCATTGCAAGACAAGAAGGTAGACGAAATCTTGTTCTCTTTTCTTTAATTTTCTGTTGAAATCGAGTTAGAAAAACCAATTTAAAAATTTGGTTAAGTTAGCTTCAGAATGTTGTTGTCACTGCCTTCTTTAATTGTTAATTGAGTATGAGTTTAGGTATTTGGGTTTATTTTAAAATTTTCAAGATTTTATTATGAAGAATGATTTTACTTGTCTTCAATTTTTTCTTATACAGAGTTTGCAATCGGAATATTCGGGAAGTTATGTCAGCAACACACCACCAAAAAATGTCAGCATCACACCGCCAAAACGTCTTTTAATTAGTAACAGAGAGGTTAGAGGGGTCTCATTACCCTGTTCTGACCATATTAATGTGCATGTCCTCACTAACTAGATTTTTGATACCGAGGCCACTGGCCTTGAGGAAGAGAGAGAACCGAGAGACATTATCATGATATTATGGGGCATTCCGTTCCACAGACCCACACTCATTCACGTGCTACTGATGCATGCGGTCCTAGAAGTCGTTCACACACTGCATATTTTTCTACTGACCCTTTTGTAGGTACATACCGACCACCAGAGGAGTATGAATACATTTCCATCTGGAGTTCACTTGATGATATTCTATTCGAGCTTAAATAACACATAAAAACATCTGAATGAAATGGAGGCCGAACATGCTCTTCAACTTCGCAACATGTAGAGACAACAAGAAGAGTTGCGAGTGGCTACTGACCAGATTATCCAGCAGAAGACTGATTTCCTTGACAGGACCCAACAAGATATTGGAGATTTAATCGAGTAGATGGATAAAGTTCGCCTAGAGTTGACAGATATGAGACAGATTGTGTAACATGTCCCTCACCCATCTTTTTAGAAAGGAGGCATGGGACGACACCGCGACCGAGGTCGTCATCATTGAGATACACCAGGTTTATCTACTCCTTCTTTCACGTTGTATTAAAACATTGGGGATAATGTTTAATTCAAGTGTGGGGGAAGATCTCAACCTTGATATCTACATGACTCTCGGGTTGATCATCCATCTTATTCTATGCATTCCTCTCGGGTTAATCAACCATATCTTTATGCCCCTTCAGATAGTTTATTACCAATATCCCTTCATTCCACTGGGAGAACTTCTGAAGAAAAATCCATAATTTATTGCTCAAGTTCAAAGGATTTGTCATGACGCATTGCAAAATGTTAAAAAACTCTAATAGTGCAATATGATTTCCTCTTTGAAAATGAAGAAATTTGTATAATTAATTATATAAAATATATGCGTCATGCTGACAAAGTTATTAAAAAAAAATGAACTAATGAAGTATGTAAAAATGTAAGATGTGACACCCCAAATTTATTCAAGTGTTAAATAATTAGGAATTTAATTATTAAATTAATTAAAGGCTTAATTAATAATATTTTGGATTAAATGGATGAATTAATTATGAAATTAAAAAGGAAGACCGGGGGGTGTAAGGTTGAATTAGAGGTGTGTGAAGTAAAAAGCTCTACTAAATAATAACTAATTTATTTCTATTATTTGGAAAATAATAAAAGGAATACAAAAAGAAGGATAAAAAGGAAAAGAAAAAGAAGGTTATTGGGAAAAAGTCATTATACGTGAAATTGGAGAAGAGAAGAGAAGAGAGGAAAAAGCCAAACGTCGTGAATTCGAAGGATCATCGCGAGGTAAGGGGTGATTTAATTTAGTTAATATGCCTTATAGGTTTTGGAATCAATAGAATTGATTAAGCCTGTTAGGAATCCCAATTTAGGATCGTTAGGTTTATGAAATTCAAACCCCAATTCCATGAATTTTTATGTCTTGATTCAATTGGATATTATGAGGAAATTGTATGATGTTATGGTGTGTTACAATCTCATTGGAATCATGTATTATAACTTATTTTGACATTGTTGTGAGTTGGATTCAAATGAGTATGAATTGGATGGGATTGGAGTAGTAAAATGCTGTCAAAATAGCAGTTTTTGACTCTGCAGGTCGTGGGAACCGGTTCCCAGTGGGGAGGAACCGGGTTCCACTGTGCGAAGTTATAAAAACTGGCAAAATTGCACGTAGGAACCGGTTCCTGTATAGGTAGGAACCGGGTTCCCATACATTTTCCATAAGGGTGATTTTTGGACTTCGCAGGAACCGGTTCCTGTATATGTAGGAACCGGGTTCTGCTGTAACTTTTTGAAAAATATTAAACTTTGAAAATTCATAACTTTCAAACCGTAAGTCCGTTTTGAGTGCCGTTTTGGACGTTATTTCTTAAATTTAATGCTCTATTTTATAAAATGAAAAGATTTCCTAAAACCTGAAATTATTTTGAAAATGAGTCAAATCCCGGAATAAGTGATTATTGGCTAACGCACATGGGTGTGTATGTAGCAGTGAACCTGTGATGGATGGATGTATTAGTATTGTGTGAATGAAAGGCATGTTTATGTTGCTAATGATGGTGTGCATGATCGTTGAGATATCATATTTTTGGTTTTGGTTCAGCTATGATAAATTGATGTATTTCATAGACTGATTTGATGTTGCATGCTAGTGATGTGTATGCATATGCATTGTTTTGGTGAAGTTAATTCCCATTGTGTGGAATTTGACTTGTATTACCGTTAACCGATACCCGGGTGATGATGGGTGGTTAGGTTGGATTCGTGTCCGGGTGTTTATGGACGAATCGATGGTTGTTGTATCCGGTTGATGATGGATCAGTGTTGGGTGACTTGGTCACGTGTTGGTACCACATGCATTGTGTCTGCATTTGTGTTTGCATGGAATTGTAACATGTTAGGATGTCTTCCAGTGTTACAATTCTTTGGTTGATTATTGATTTGTGCATAATGACTTGTATGATTGGAACTGCGTGTTGAATCTGAATTTATGCTAAAATGGGTGAAATAATATGCTTGTGATATAATGTTGATTGAGAAGCTTATAATGCATGTTAATTATGAGAAATCTCACCCTTACTTTAACAATTTCAGATTAAAGTTAGCAGCTCAGGAGTTGGTGAGGATGGCTCTAGAGCTATGTTACTTTAAGTCCGCGTGTCAGTGTCGTGCTCTGATAGTTTGTAACACTGGGGGAAACGTTTGAATGATGAGTTTTATTTTATACTCTATTGTTTAATTTATGTTGGGAATACTTATGAAGTGAAGTTATTTCGGTTTTGAGACATTTCCGCTGTGTAGAACATGATATTGATTTGAATATTTATCTTAATAATTCCTTCAGTAAAGCATGACAACTGTAGATTTGAGGTTTTTATATTTATCTTGGATTGTGACATCCCTGTTTTCCATGTTACTCTGATTTAATTAATATATTCGCGGGTTATTTAGAAGGGGTGTTACAATAGTGGTATCAGAGCATAGTCGGTCTTGTCTTGTGTCGTTATCCCTTTTGTATGCGACTAGTGTAAGATGATACTGTCGATACTTGTGCGCTGATGAGGTTGTTTTGTAATGTTACAAGAACAATGGCCGTAAGAGGTAACGGAAGAAACGACGATGCTATTGCTGAAGCATTGGGAATGTTGGCTGGAGTACTCGGAGGGAACCAGTAGGGAGCTGTGATTGGTGCTGACCGACAATTGGGGAATTTTTAGAGGAATAATCCTCCGTTGTTCAAGGGTGCACATGATCCCGAAGGTGCTCAGAAGTGGTTGAAGGAGATCGAGAGGATCTTCAGAGTAATTGACTGTGCTGAAGGGCTGAAGGTGAGATACGGAACTCACATGTTAGCAGAGGAAGCTGATGACTGCTGGGTTGCTACAAGAACTGAAATGGAAGAAGATGGTATTGCGTTGATTTGGGCTGTGTTCAGGAGGGCTTTTCTGAGGAGGTACTTTCCTGAGGACATCAGAGGCAAGAAGGACATTGAGTTTCTGGAACTCAAGCAGGGTAACAAGACTGTCAGTGAGTATGCTTCGAAGTTTACTGAGTTAGCGAAGTATTATGCTCATTATACTAACGATGCAGATGGAGAATTTTCCAAATGTATCAAGTTTGAGAATGGTCTTCGTGATGAGATTAAGCAGGATATTCGGTATCAGCGTATCCGAAGATTTCCTGATCTGGTTGACTG